AATTTTCGAGAATATCCAAAGCAAACAATATGGATACTTTAGAAGAAATACACAGATGCTAGAGTTTTTTGCGTATAAATATTTTCTTCGACCCCCGTAAACCTCCCGATGCTCAATAAGATAGTTAAGATAGTTAGAGAATTTTAACACGGTCTAGTTATGCATTATCACTAGTAAAGTTAATCTTTTCCTTTTCTTTGTTTGTTTTTTTTTTAATCTGTGGATTATAAAATCGAGCTATTTTATTTTTCACACGATTGTTAACCCTTTTGGAACAAATAAACTTATTACCAATGTTAAAAAAAGTGATATCATTATTATACATAGTACTCAGTCACAATTCATTATTCATATTCAACTTGGCTATTTCTTGTCGTTTTTTTCAGATGAATTAAATAATAAAAACAAGTGAAAAATGGAAGGTATTCTTGTTTCATCAACAGTAATTAAATTATTATCATTTCATCCACACTAATTTATTGCTCGATTCATCGACACCTTTCTTAGTGTGATATCAGTTTTCTCAGAAATGATACTCAGTGATTTAGGTCAACTCTGAAACTGCATAGGACATGTGTATTACATCTCCTCTCCCTCAATGTTGTCGACGAGTCAAGAAAAAAATGAATGAGTCGACGAATCGGGACAATACCGATTACTCTTAAAGAATTTGTTCATTTTTCTCTAAAAAAAATTTAGATGGGCGTATGATAATAATTATTTTTTGTTGATCATTCAACGTTACATTTTTAAATAACAATTAGATTAATTTATATTCGATACTATTAGCAATATAGGTGATAATCGATATTTTAGTTGCATTTTCTTTAGTTAATTTAACAATTCATAGTATTTTGAAATAAATCAAGAAAAAGAAAAATTGTCAAATATTATTATTTTTATGCGTGATGGTTGTACATCGTCTCTCGACAGAAAACTCAAAATATTAACTGCGCACTATCAAGCAGAAATTCTTCGATTCTAGACAGCTGTGCATGCAAATATTTGATTAAATTAATATATCAGTTAAAAATCTTATTCGGACCTCTTTCACTAGAGTGCTTGAGAAATATCATTTTTTTAAAAAGAAATGTCTATAATTTATGATTTAGCAGAGGTTTTTGCTGAAACTGAAAGATTTAACTTTCAAAGAGTATGCACTTCAAATACAAATAGTTCTCTAGAAAATATGAAAATGTTAAGTGTAGTTGTTACTTTCACTCAGAGTTATAGTAATTCCACTGAAAACTGGTTAAAACAGGATGGATATTGGGCCAAAGTCCACACCTTGATAATGGTTCACCTACACAGTGGTCATCCAGGCGGACATTTGGTGAAAAATTGACAGTGAGCTTTTTCAGAATTCAAATAGTGTCCAAATAGCCTAAATACTAGCGACCTCGGAGAAAAAACATTTTAGTTCATTAAGGCGAATTATATTTGTTAATAGTACCTGTCCTGAATCTAGACACGCTCAGCTATCTATCAATTAAAAAATTTTCCACTTTGATCCTAGGATCTAAGAGAAAAAAATTAATTGTCAAACTAATCCTCGTTCCGTATTAGAATGTAATGAGATCGCACAGGTCGGATCCGATTCAAAATTATATCAAAATGTCCGTGAGTATGTCCTGTATTCATTATGAATGCGATTTTTCTACTGGACTTTGATATGGGTTTTAGTAAAATCTATTTTTCTCGACTCAAAAACACTTTTATTGAACACTAATGACATATTTGGAATCAGTTGATGAAACTGCGTCGCATGGCGTATAATTTGTTAGTTTTACATATAAAAAAATTGTTGACAAAAATTAAGGGCAAATGTCTCCTCTCCGTCAGCGATCTTTCATTGGAAAAAAATATTTTTTGACTTTCACTTTTTTTTAATTATACTTTTGCACGATTATGATGTACATTAATCGCAAAAGATATGGTAGAAAAGATGACCTTTAATTCCTAATCTTCATCCTCCTATGTAGGTCTCAAAAGTGGATGCTCGTTTTCGATGAATTTCTTGAACCATACAATAGTTAACTTTCAAACTCTTTGTATAATCTAAAGATACTGGGAAGTATGTGACACAATTTTGAAGTGAATATTTTTTAGTTATGATTATTTTCAGAATGAATCTCATAGCTCAAAAGTGACTCTCGATCGTAAAATTGCTGTATTTCAGTGACCATTAGGAGCCAACAAACCATAGATAGAAGAGAGTTAAAGCTACATTTTGGTAAAAAGAAAAATTTTCATCTCTGTTGGGTCAGGAATTACAGATATTTTTTTTTAAAAAAAATATCTCCCGAACCATCCATTTAAAGAAGCTCAAACTTACTGGGTGAAAAGCATCCAGTGAGACATATGATCACACAAAATTAGAAGTCACTAACTATCATGGTCAGAACAAAACAAACAAACACACACAATGCTTATAAGCGTGAACAAAACAGTTCAGGAAAAAAAGAACACATGGTACATGAAGTATTACCAGTAAGTACAAAAAGAAACGTGCAGACAGATAAAAGAGATGGAATGAAAACTGTTCGGAATAAAAGGAATGCAGAATAAGAGAAAAATCGGCGACGTTTGAAACGCAGTTAAAAGTAGAACTAGACACAGATAAAACAAAATAACATGTGTGTCTTTAACAAAAACACAGTTTCACAAATAAAAAATAGAGTAAATGGGCATTCTATAAAACAAAACAAAATCAGTAGATTAAAGTGAGAAAAAAAGAGAAAACTGTTCATGTCACAAAAAAAGTACTTAAATTTATAAATAGAAGAGTTTATCGGCTAATGTATGATCAAAATCTTGATTTAACGATTGTCCAATTAAATAGGCTAGTTTGTGCGCGTACTGACACATTGCTGGAACACGAATTGTACCCTAGAAGAGAAGAAACAAACGAACTACGGATAACAATTATTCAAATTGGTTGGAGGTAATGCAATGAAGATGTGCTCATCATTTTTCTTTCAAGAAAAAATAACATATCACTACTGATATTCGTATGAGGATCATGAATATTCTAACTATTTGTTTCAATAAAATTTGTTTCAAATACTTCGAGAAAAAAAATGTGTTACCAAGTTAAGTTGACTAGACCATTAGAAAAGTAAAGTCTTTTAGTGATTAACAAGATACCATTATACTCTTCGAGAATACAGAGACAAAATAAACATGTGTATAAGTTTGCTTTGTTTGTTATTTCTCGGGAAAAAAAATTATGAAATCAAGAGTAAGTCAAAGATTGCCGCAGAGACAAACAAACGTTATTTCACTATTGTATTTTTCCATTCAAAGAACATCTAAATTTATTCGTGTTTCAAGACAATTTCAGAATATCCAGGAATAGGCCTCATTGTCTTGATTGCAGTAAAATTTGAGATTAAAAAACGAACTACAGATAACAATTATTCAAATTGGTTGGAGGTAATGCAATGAAGATGTGCTCATCATTTTTCTTTCAAGAAAAAATAACATATCACTACTGATATTCCTATGAGGATCATGAATATTCTAACTATCTGTTTCAATAAAATTTGTTTCAAATACTTCGAGAAAAAAATGTGTTACCAAGTTAAGTTGACTAGACCATTAGAAAAGTAAAATCTTTTAGTGATTAACAAGGTACTATCATACTCTTCGAGAATACAGAGACAAAATAAACATGTGTATGAGTTTGCTTTGTTTGTTATTTCTCGGGAAGAAAATTATGAAATCAAGAATAAGTCAAAGGTTGCCGCAGCGATAAACAAACGTTATTTCACTATTGTATTCCTCCCTTCAAAGAACATCTAAATTTATTCGTGTTTCAAGACAATTTCAGAATATCCAGGAATACGCCTCATCGTCTTGATTACAGTCAAATTTGAGATTAAGAGAAAATTAGATCTCATATTGACAAAAAAAGATGCATACCGGCCAATTGTAATACATATGACATAATTTAAATGTTAATCGTTGCATATGATCCACTTTTAATTGCGTTCGATCCCAAATAACATTGAAATGTGTTGGTGCAACAGTTCCTTGTCGCGCACATTGTGATATCAAATAAAAATCATACCAATCTGAATTTGTTACTGTATTATCAATAACTGATCCCGGTGGTGGATTATATAAGGCAGTCGTATTTTTCGCAAAAAAACGTGTACTGCCACGTTTTTTAACGATAACCATAGCAAATTTTGGACTGAAATACAAAAGACAAAAATAGTAACATCCATCCAAAACATGAACAATATGCCATGGCAATTTCCATGATTTTTCGTTTTTTTAAAATTTTATATATGCGCATACGACTAATAAAAATCAACTATACTGATTAAGAATATTTACTGATATGAATTTTTCCATCATCTTTTCCTTTTTTACAATCGTAGAATTTACTTACTCATATCCAGATTGTATTTTTGGAAATGTTTCTAATATTTGTGGTAGTTCGTGCTCATAAACTGCCTGTAATTGACCATCACTAACCCCATCTCGATACATAACAATTTTTTCCGGTAATGTACCATTACAGCGAAGATATTCTTGAAGAGCATCTTTAACACGAATATTTTACAGCTAATATAGAATGTTAAAGTCGATTAATTTCATACCTCTTAGACAAACTGCGAGACCATCAACTAATTCTTGATTTGTTCTTTGATAAATAACTCTCGAATAAAATCGTGTGCATGACGGATTAATCGATGCAACAAATCCAGCTACACTTGGTTGACCACGTTTATGATACGCATCCATACCAATTAACATCAATGTACGAGACTAAAGAGGATACTAGAAGTTCAGCTCACAACAAACTCTCCTTTTCTTAATTAGAGAATCTTTATGAAAGAATGAAACAAAACAAATCAACCTATGAATTTCGGTTTAAAAATGCAAATTTTAAGTTTTTTCGAGATTTAAATGATGAATGTCAGCTCTGCAATTCTATCTTCATTCTGTTTCACTTACTGGTATTTGAACAGCCCATATTTCTCCACCCAACTTCGCATTCATTTGAATTCCAATTTTGGTTGCAACAGACATCAGTTGATTTCGTTTTGTCAATGTTTTTGTTAAAACCATCTGAACGACAATACACTGTTAGTGACAAAAAAAGTACACAGAAAACCTCTTACTTGAGATGGTATAGGATTGTCCAAGCAAAAATATTTTTTTAATGCATCATAACGATCTTTTCGATTATTTGTCAGTACACATACGGCCATTTGAGTATTTCTACGAACCTTTGCCATGATTGCTTCTAAATATGTTTCAGGACGATCATTTTGTAACTGTACCCTAAAAATAAGAAATACAACAAATTAAACTAAAAAAACAGACATATGCAGACTGAGAAGTGAAATTACATTTCTGGATATTGCATTTGCATTCCAAACGGTGTGCACACTTGTCCCATCGCATCAACCATTTGTTCAGCTAACTGAGCATCTTTTCCTGTAAAAAATACGATCCAATGTGTCAGATCTTTGGCTGCTATATGCTTGAGCGAGCGTCCTTCACGAGACCAATCAGCCTCGGATGGCTTATAACGAATTGCTTTCTAAACATAAAACATATAAAGATAATATTATTTGTAGTATTAGTAAAATAAGACAAAGAATTGCACATCTACCTATGGGTATCTGTCTTTACATTACTTTAGATGATTTTTTACCTTGTAGCTTTCTTACTTTCAGAGTAAGTCCTATTTCACATTATCAATACGTTCTCCAAAGAGAAACTAATTTTATACGTACATCTCCATAGATAATTTGTTCTGAATCAAGTACTCTGCCTTCAAGTTCAACTAAATCTTCATCCACACTAATTTGCCATTTCGCTAATTCATTTTGCACTTCATTATTCCTAGAATAAAAAAGACAGATAAAGCAAAAGTATTTAACTCAAAATATACAGACCTATTTAGACCATGAATAAAAGCACTTAATCGATTAAATCTTGTAGTAGGATCAATATGAGTATGAAGAGCAAATTCTTTCATAAAGCTATAGTCTTGCCGTAATGCATCAGATATGCCTAGAAGAAAAAACGTTTTACAAATGAAGAAATCAAAATGTAACCAGCCTTACCGTAGGAACTTACCCGTTTCTCTACATAATTCTGGTATTAACAATATGGGTCCCGTAATTCCTGCTCTTCGATCTCGTCGAGATGGACGACTGACTAACAGCGGTTGACCTTCATCTTCTATTCGTAATTGATAACGCTAACGAAATAAACAAAGAGTTCAATTTTACTTTTTATTCGTAGATGTATGAAACAAACCTACTTCTGAATAATATCTTGTCAACGGTATTTCTGTTCCATCGCGTTTTTTAAATAAAAATTTCGGATCTTTATCCCACGCAATTTCATCGACACGATATGTGCGATTGTTGTAACTAAACAATAAACATTGACCAAAGCGAAGACCACATTTGCGCTGTATTCGCTTCAAATAATCGAGAGAGCTTAACAGCGTTCTTTACAATGATTAGCAGCGGTCATAACCAATGAAATGTTCTTAATATGTTTAACTTTCTCAATGTATGGCACATACCTCTCACCAGCCAGATGGTGCTATGTCGGAAAAAAACAAACATACAAGTGATGTTTCAAACATAAAATCTTCTATTTTAAACGCACATATATCTCGAATCACTTTTTAACTAGTGGCGTGACCAAAAATTCGATAGAAGGGTACCTCAGTCTCGAAAATGTTTTCCTATCATGAAATAATATATAAGAATAAAACAGTAAAGAATGTATGGTTTCTCTCAAAAAAATTTAGATAACTTTATTAAATAATTCAAAACAGTCAAAAATGATATCATGGGCTTTTGTCTCTTTCTTTTTCCTCAACCACAATAAATACAGCTGAAACCAATTCAAAAACTATTAATGATGTGTCGCTACATTTGCCTATTTAGCGCATATTACCTTAAACAACATAGTCAAGAAACTAAACTTATGCTAATAGTAACTGAAATAACTACTATTCGAAAGAAGATATGATACGAAAGTACGTACATAGTCATGACTATTTGACCAACTAATTCTCTGGCTGCAGTGTCTTGTGCTCTTTTAAAATCTTGAACTTGATTGAATATATTTTGAAGACGTTCATATATCGTTACATTACTCAAAACCTAAAGTTAAACAGTGGTTTAATTCCTTCGATCTCTAATCTTTGTTACATTTTCGAAGAAACACGAACTATGAAAGAAAAGTACAATGGGATAAAGCATTTAGCCACTGTACCCACCAGCATCCAAAATTGTGATAGCAGAGTACTATGATAATGTTCTCTTTTACTATAATTTCGGTATTCATGAATCTCAGCTTACTTTATGTGATACATCAACATTGATCATTAGTTGTCCTTCGTAAACATTAACATTTGTCAAAAATCCTGGAAATAGTGTTAACTTATACGTTGGCATATCGATTCGTTCATCAAATTGATAATAATTTCGGCCAATCAACTTCAAACCGGCTATTTCTAATAATCTAAACAATATTATCAGATAAAACACTTTATCAAATGACCATTCTGTTGCTTGCATCGTATTACTTGCGACAAATTAGATTCGATAAATGAAAGAAATTCGGTGATTCTGGTGGATTAGCAGCGGTTTTCCGCATAATAATACGTATATCAGCACCAGAACTAGGATGATGAGATTGTAATTCATATTCCTACAAAAATAAATGAAACAAAATCTCATAGAGTCATCTTCTATTTTTAAATTTTTAAACTGTTTTTCTATAGAGTTGTCTAATATTGCCCTTCAAGTGACAGTTTGAAAATAAGTTTCATCAACATGAAGCAACACCAGCGGAAAAAATGTGAACAATAGACCAAAACTATTTTACTAGACTCTTATTCAGAACGATCAATCACTTCAGAAACCTGACACGTGCTTTAAATTAGATACTTTTTGATTACTTACTTGTCCAAGATCTTCAAAGGAATATAATTGTTGACCATCAAAAGCAACATCTCTTAAAATTCCTCGATGCTGATTGATTAATTCACGTTTCATTTTTTTTGAATCTATATCATTTGGTTGAAATTCAATATGATACTGAAATAATGTCCACTGTGGTGCAGCTAATATACGAACATAATTTGTAACTAAACTTATCAGTTCACCACTACTTCCTAGAAACCAGTTAAATATATCAACAACATGCTTTCACTCTATTAAAGCAAAACTATTCATCGACGGCGACATTTGAGCTTGTTTACCTATATATACCGTGGACAGATAGAAGAGCAAAGGATTATATGATTTTTTTTCTTTCAAGACTTATACTCTATAAAATATGCTAAATTCCATTCAAAAGAAGTAGCATGACTGAGGAACAGATTTCATACCTCTTTTTTCTAATCCTGGTTGTTTCAATACCAATGTTGTTGGATTAACAGACCTGGTTCGTCCAGCTGGTGGCCCTTGTGACGCAGTCTCATGAAGTGCCATTGAAGCGAATTCTGGGACCATCGTTTCTATTCCACGACCACGAGGTATTTGCATCATTTGTGGTGGACGACGCTGAGGTTGTTGAGGCCGTTCGTGGAATGCTGTTGCCATAGCGCCGGTTCCCAGTCTTCCTGCTGTAGTAGAACTGGGTGTCACAGGACCGCCTGAAGCTGTACCAGACCATTGAGAAGAAGGGCTTGGCGGAATGGATGCTATCTGGCTCTGAAAATAGTAAAATTAAAAATTATATCAGGTATCCCTAGAATATTTAAGCCAAGCAAGTGAAAAACTCAGAAGGTTTATTACTTTCCCTTGTACAAATTTCTTGTCTTTCTAGACTAGTAACTGGACGGATTTATTTTAATCATTTTACTCACAATTCGATAAACAGGCGTATTTTCCAAACAATTCTGTTACTCATTCTACAATAATAAATGCTCATACGCCAGTCCAGGTAACAGTAGATTTTTTTGCCAAGTTTTCGAAATTTTTTTCCGTCACGGAACTGAAATGAGCGCATCACTAGATGTATTTTTTGCTGATTACGAATCTGGTATTATTGCTTGAAAAAAACTTACTTTTAAATCCCAAAACTCGATTTTACATTTTTTGAAAACAGTATTTTCGATTTGCTCACCTAGACACTTTGTCAAAAAAATTTAAAAACATGTCATTCGACAGAGAATTAAATTCTCTACAAAAATGACGTGTTTGTTTTAAAGTTTGGACGAAAGATGTCGAAGTTATGAGACTTTTACGGTTCAAATTTGTCGGACATGTTGTACAAGCTCAGCAACTGGCAGGAACTTGATTCGGGTGTAGTTCGATAGCTCATGTCTAGCACTCTCTGGAATATAGAAATCAAGTGTTTTGATAAGTGTTCAAGGCTTCAGAAAATCTGATCATTCCTCAAAACGTTATTCCGTCAAGACCGTTTATTTCACCTGGAAAGGCAAATTTTTGGATTTTTAATTTTCTTTTTTCCCACGTGTAGTCTATTAAGTCGGCTACAACTTTGCTGTGTAAAGTTTTTTTGTGGAACCTTTCCTTGCACTAAGTTTTCACTTTCTTTAGACTGAGGTCGAAGTCGAAGTTCGTTTTGTGTTATTCCGTCACGGCCTATCTTTTTGCTTCTAACTTCCAGATCAAATGTTCGAACCTGATGAAATTTTCAGAATTTGCAGAACGTCTGATTTCACATATTCTGTAAAAATTTAAGCTTTTCCCGACTTGAACTGGCTGAGATATTCAAAAAAGAAAATTGAAAAACGTTATTCCGTCACGCTTGGACTGGCCGCATATGTAGAACAAAATTGTTTTTGCCAACTACAGAAACTATGTTTTGTACAACTAAATACTGCATCATTTACTAATCACTTACTACTTTATATTATACAATACTAGGGCTTTTTATGCTTTGGTTGCAATGAAATACAAAAGAGCGTCATGCCAGTAGCCAGTAGTTCATCTTGCGAAAAGATACATTTCTACAGCGGAACAAGGAAATCTCGAAATAACTAAAAGATCTTTCATAACTATTTAAAATCTTGACTTACAACTAGTCTACCCATAAACATTTTACTTACACCACTTAGAGATCGTTGCGGTGATGATGCAGTTCCACCAGCTCCTGTAATTAATTGTTGGCTTGAAGAGGCTTGTGCTGCTGCATCAGCTGCAGCGGCTCCACTTGGCTCACCACTAGTCTCTTCTTCTCCTGGTGCTACACGTGCACGACCACGACCGCGTGCTCTACCAGCCTTATCAGCTCCCGCAGTTGACATTCGAAAGCACTTGATTTTCCTTATATCTCCACAAAATACAATCTAAAACACATGAATAATTCTGAAGTGAATATCATAGCAAGTGTCAATTTCTTTTCGAATGTTCAGTTCTATGGAAATCGATGACAAAATCAGATAAACTGGCATAGAATTGTTGAAGAATAAAAGGACAAATTACTGTGTAAGAAAAAAACTCGAAAATTTAGAGAACAGGTTCTATTTAGTCTATCATTTCCTTCTTGCAGCATAAGTACAAAATACAAATAATAACAGTAGATCATGTTTATCACGCACCTTCTCTATACATCACACAATCAAGGCTCGATGTCGTCATAAAAAAAGTAATTCTTTCCCTTTGCATGCTTGTTTTTATTTGATAGATGTCCACTGAAGAGAAAACAGAAGAAAAGTAACCGACATTAGAGCTGGGAATTAGCAAAATAATGGTCTAATACGTTAAGATAGAGCTCGAATGTTCAGATCGGACGTCGAAATTAATAAGCTGTTTTTATTTGTACACAATTCAAAAGAAAGAAATAATACGCAACTTTCTCTTGTATTGTATAATAAACCTAGACGGATCAATAGAGATAAACGTGACACTTTTTTTGACGATTTGTCGACGTTGTTTCTGTAATACGAATTATTATCAAAATATATAATACATACGATTTTAGTTTAATTTAGACATGAGATTTTCCTCGTGTTTCGTTTCTTTTTGTTTCGTTTTAATTTTAAATTCTAGTTCACTATGAACACCAGGATAGAGGTCAGAAGTAATAAAAAAGAATTTTTATGAACTCTCAGCTGGTAAAGAGTTATTGGTTAAAGTGTTTAGAGCTAAACTAAAGATAGACGTTGGTTGTCATACCAACACGTTTTCGTTTAAGGAAAAGGAAGAGTTTGACTAATTTTTCCATCTATCGGTTAATCGATAGATGAAAAATATTTCAGTGTACCAATTGGTACACTGAAATATTTTTATAAGTAAACTTTAAATGGAAGGAATAGAAAATACGGCAGATAGATAGCGCTCTCTTTCGTTGTTGGTCTTTTATCTACAGTAAGAAAAACGAAATTGCTTGTTCTCAGTAGGCGATCTCTTAGTGGAACTTCTATTTTATTAAGGTCTTGAATTTTTCCAGTAACACCTTGATGGAAAAACTAAGAAATTAAGATATTCTGTGAAGTCAATCCTAGTGAACGTACTTCGACTCAAGTACATTCGCTAGGGAAGATTCCAAAAGCTTGAAATTTATCCACTTATACGAAGATCTGTTAAGTCTTGAATCATTTTGTTTTACATTCTAGATAGATAAGTTTAAAAATTTTTATACATAGAATAATTTGCATAATTTTTGTCCTTCTCTAACATAGCTCCCAGGTGATTTTTCTGCAACATAAATCTGGAAAAATCTTTGCAGTAACTTTGCAGATTCTGCAAAGGGATTCTGCAGATTTGAAGCAGATCTGCATTGCAGATGTGCCAAGATTTGACTAAAGATCTGATGCAGATCTGCAAAAAATCTTTACAGTTTCTTTGCAGTTCCTTTGCAGGTTTTTTGCAGAGAAACTGCAGATTTTTACAGCTTTTTTTTGTTTGTATATTTGTGTCAAAACATTTGAAATATATGAAATAAATGTATA